CGAAAGTCAGGCAAACACTGAAGCAAAGGCCTGTATGGAACATTTAGGGTTTTGCTCACATCACCCACTCCCCCACTGAACAATCTTTAAACCCTCCCAACGTACATCTATGTTGTTGAGGGTGTTGAACTCCATCAGGTCGTGGAGCCTCTTGAAAGCCTCGTTGGGATACTGGAAGTTGAAGGTAGAGAAAGGTGTATTTGGATCATCAAAAATGTCAAAGTCTGCAAAGTCCTTCTCTTCCTGTGTTTCCCTGGGAACACCTGCACAGAACAAATACAAAAGCACCACCCAAATGTTAGGTCTGAGCACTCACCACCTTACTTAGGGAATTCAGAAGAGCCATTCCCAAGGACTGCAGACACGCTTGGGAGTTATTTGAGAGCCAAAGTGCACAACCACATTCCAAAGGAACAGGGATTCAGCAGCAGCAACTGTGCCCACCTGGAGCTTTGTACTTCCTGAAGTTGATGTTGGCCAAGACAAAGTGGATTATGGTGGGACAGTCCTTCTCTGAAGAGGTGTCCTTTGGTTTGAACACGTAGCACTCCTTCAGGCCCTCTCTGTCAAACACATTGGGGTCTATTTTGGGGAAGGGCAGCTTGTTCATTCGAGCCCATTTCTCAGCCAGCAGAATTTCCTGAAAAGATACAAAGGCTGAGGTGCATGAAAGCATCCACTGAAAAGTGAGGAGCTTTGGAGAGAGACATGGAGCAAACCAGTTGGCAGAAGCAATTAATTAACTATTCAGGGCCCAGGAAGGATGTGGAGCTGTTGGGGCAAGTCCAGAGGAGGCACCAAGATCATTAGAGGGATGAAGCATCTCTCCAATGAGGGAAGGCTGAGAGAATTGGAATTGTTCAGCCTGGAGAAAGGAAGGTTTAGGGTGACCTAACTGTGGCCTTGCAGTGCCTGAAGGGGCTACCAAAAAAATGACTGTTTACAAGGGATGGAGGCACAGGACAAGGGGGAAAGGCTTAAAGCTGCCAGAGGGCAGGGATAGGTGGGATATTAGGAAGGAATTCTTGGCTGTGAGGGTGGGCAGGCCCTGGCACAGGGTGCCCAGAGAAGCTGTGGCTGCCCCATCCCTGGAAGTGTCCAAGGCCAGGTTGGATGGGGCTTGGAGCAACCTGGGCTGGTGGAAGATGGGATGGAATGAGATGATCTTTAAGGTCCCTTCCAACCCAAACCATTCCATGATTCTGTGACATGAAGCACTAATCAAATCAATCTCTGATTGATGACCCAGAGTGGCAAACTGAGCGCCTCCTTCAGCCTCTCAGCCTCCACCACCAGCGCTAATTCATGGCAGGGAAAGAGCTGGTCTGTCCCACAAATCTTGGAGTGACTTTATAGAGGAAAGACCATCCCTAATTTGACCTGCAAACAGAGTATCAGCACTATGGAAACCGAGGAGAGGTCACAAACACCAGGCCAGGCATTGCTGTGCTCGGAGTCACATCCCAGCCTAGAGTGGCGTTTGAAAGCACCCCGATTGAAGAGAGCTGGAAAACAGGCTTTTTTCTTCCTCATGACAACTCAGTAAACAAAATAATTTGTAAATAATGACTCAAAAGCATGCAATGAGGGCGTGTGAGAGGGAGGAGAGGGAAGGTCAACAACTTTAATCTTGGTTCTCAATGAAACAGGACCCTTCTGCGGGCGACTGCTGTGGATACGCAGGAGATTAAAAGATAGTGGGTGTAAAAGGATAAACCAAGAGTGGAGTCACTGAGCTCAGCTGGCTGATTTCCCCAGCTAAGTACAATGTTAGTGCTACCATGGAGACAGGCCCACTCTTGAAGTGGCATTTGCCCTTTGCAGGGCAAGCAGAGCCAGTGGGACACACAACAGGTTCCTGGCCTTGAACCACGCACACAAAGCCTCTGCCTCTGGACTACACCTCTTCTTTTGTGCCTCAGGAACAACACACCATTCCCTTCAACAGTGGCTTCAGGAGAACAAAGGCACCATTTATTTTTCCCCACGATTTTTTTTTCTTGTGTCACGGGATTTTTTTTTTTTTTTGCCTTTTTAAAACTACAGTTTAGAGAAAACCCCTCAGGATGCCGCTTGACCTCCAACCAATCTCTCTCCACATTCCCCAAAGCGACATAAAAAATTGCAGCTGATGAAGACAGTGCTCAGTGTGTAGGGTAAGAGGAACAGGGATGACAATACACAGCCTTTTGCACTGGGGCCCACATGTGGAATGTTAAAAAAGGGAGGAAAAAGATATTTCAGAGAAGATGGCAGTGCTGTGTCAGCAAGTTTAGCTGATGGGGAAAACATTCATGACAAAAAAGGAAATATATTCTTATGCAAATAGAATATTAAAGGAAGAAACACTCTGGGATTCAGTGAATTAAGGAAGAAAACAAAGGATCTCAGCACTAGGAAGAGTCTTCTCAGTGCTCTGTTTTTCCCAGTAGCCCCAAAAGACCTAGAGATTACAGAAATTACCCCTTTTTATTCTCCTGAAACTGGTTTGTCTTTGTATTTGACAACATTGATCTCGAGCTCATTTTGCTACCACTGTTATTTTCTAATATCCTCAATGTTAAGATCAAGGAACAAAATAATCTGTTCTCATTGAAATTTGTCTGTAAAACAACGAGGAACATCAGTTGCTTTTCAAACAGAAATGTTTTCCGGGTTTCCTTAAAAATTCTTTTTGAAATCCTCTTGGAAATAAATACTGCCTCTTTTTTTGAGAACCACAGAATCACTGAGCTTGGAAAAGACCTCCAAGATCATCAATCCAACCTTCAACTGAATCCCACTGAGCCCACTAAACCCTGTCTCGAAGTGAGCACCTCACTGCAGTCTCTGAAGTGCTGTTTTTTCTGTTATCAGTTACCAAAATGATCCCACGTTAAGCCTTTGGGATGAGATGGAGCTCTGTGGATGCACAGGTTGCACAGACACAGCCGTGCTTTCCACATCTGCTACACAAAGTACCCGAGTCATTCAATCCCTGGTTTTCTCTTGCTGTTTTCCTCTGGCCTCAATGGATTTAAGAATCCTCTTTAAACCATTGCTGGGATGATCCCAGGGAGATGTAAATGGACAGCCAGCCCTGCTTCCAAAAGGTTATTTATTTAGCAACACCAGAGTGAGTAGGATGATGCATTTCTGCAGGATGATGACATGGGACCATTCATTTACATCACAGCACCCAGAGAGCAGCTGGACAGAGTTAGAGCACCAGTGCACTGCTAATTGACTTCATTGTTTAATACTGACATAAAATAAAACCCTGCAATCGGTAGGAAAGCAAAATTTCCATAAAAACAACTACTTCAGCTGAATTTCCTTCCTTTGAAATAGCCTTCCTCGTGTTAGCTGTGCCATGTAAACAGGAACTGAGGCACAGGGCAATATTCTGCTTGATGTGGAAAGAGTCATTCCAGTGTTGTAGATACAGCAGCACCTTCTGGGACCACAAAATGTGGGAACAACATGATTGGAAAAATACAACAGCCAGCTTGGGCTCCTGACCCCGAGGGAGGGTATGGCCTGTCTTACTTACCTTGAAAGGCGGGCTGGAATCACTTGGCCTTGCCGAGAAATCAAAAGAGATGATGAGATCGACGCCTCTCTGAGGCCTCAGGATGAGGGGGTATGGCAGGTTAAACGTCAGCCCACTGTCCACAATGTGAATCTTCTTGCTCTTCACATCCAGTGGCTCGTAAATCCTCTCAAACTCATCAGGATCTGCGCAGAACACAGGAAAACAAAAACAAAACAAAAAAAAAACAACAGGACATACGAGTTAAGAACTCAGGTTTTGATGGGTTTTCCAGTGTCTCCCCAAGCAGTGGGGATTGCAAAGGATTTAAAATGCACAGGACATCCCAGCTAAACACAGCATGAACTCAAGTGTAACTTCAGCTCTTAACAAGTGGAGAATGAGGTGGGAGAGAAGGGGTTGGAAGGGCCCTGTCCCCACGCACACACAAAAGTGGCTCGAGGCAACACTGAACGGGACAAGTGGCCAGGTTTGAGCCCAGCCTTCCCACCTTCACCCCATCAGCTCAAACACAAAGGAAAGGGTTTATGGGATGTTAAGAGACAAATTCCAAACGCCCATCTGCCCAAGAGGATGGTCCCAGACTCTTTTTGGAGGAGCCCAGAGACAGGATGAGCAGCAATGGCCAGAAACTAAAACACAACAAGGAAGAATCTCTTTGCATGGAGGGTGGCAGGGCCTGGAACAGCTGCCCAGGGAGGGCCTGGAGTCTTCCTGTCTGGAGACCTCCCAAACCCACCTGGATGCATTGTGTCACCTGCTGCAGGTGGCCCTGCCTTGGAGGGGGGAGGGTTGGGTGGGTGATGGCCTGAGATCCCTCCCAACCCTAATGACTCTGTGATCCCCTCAGTGTCCTAAAACCCTGCCCAAACCTCTTCTCTCAGGTTTCCTCTCCCTGCCCCTCATCCTCCCCAGCTCTTCCCCCTGAAAAGCCTCGCTGTGGACCTGCTTGGGTGTGACGCTTGTCCACAACCTGCTCCTGTCCATTCAACTGGGACTATCCAGTCTTGCTTTCCAACTGCACCCAATCTGATGACCTCACAACTCACTACTCCACCAGGAACAAAAAGAAACAGTGACCCATGTCCATATTTCAAACTGAAGAACTGCCTGTGAGCCACTCCCTGCCAGTGCTGTCCCAGCGAGGGACAAACCAGACTCCTCTCTGAGCCCACCTGAGGGCTGCAGGAGATGATGTTCCCCCTGGAACCCCAGTATTCCCTGGATGCAGCTCAGGAAAAAAAAACAATCAGTTTTTCTGAAGTCTCTTTGCACTCATCCAAGTCTCTGGATGCCACTAAACAATCCCTGCTGGAATTAAAACTATTCCCATGAGGGTCTGTTCTTTCTCTGGGTTTTTAACAGATTTCCAGTGTGTGGTTTTGCTTTTTTGACTGAAAACTAATGCTCATTTCTGTAGAGGGCACTGTGATCTAAGGAATGCTGGATAGGAGAATATAATTATTTCTGGTGTAATTAAACTTCCCAACATCTGCTTATTTGCAGTAGAAGTAATCTGAAAAAAAAAGAAGACATTTTAAAGTGAAGAAAATCCATCCAAAATAATTCAAACTCTCATTCCTATTATTTGAGGATCCATGAGAAAAATTTAGTGCTATGAGCAGCAAAAAAAAAAAAAAAAATCTCAGAACAGATGCTTTCCCTTTTTATTTCTGTTGTTATTTAGTAGAGGACACTTTTCTAAGAAATGGGGCCCCATTTTCCTACTATTTGCCTTGATTCCTAAGGGAGAGAACACTTTAAAATCATTGCCTATTGCAAAAGGGCTGTGTTTATAGCCCTATTTTAAAACCAGATATATTTCATCATCATAACTTAGCATAAATCTACAAAAATAAATTAGTATTTATCAAATTCATCATAATTAAAAAAAAAAACTGGCAAAAGTACTCAATACATTTCCTTTTAGCACAAGTAGAAGTTTTGATTTCCTCGTCTTGTTTAAAGACAACATTTCAAAAGTAACTAAATCCTTGTTCTCTACAGAATTTCTAAAAATTGTGGAAACATTTTTGCTCATGTTTTGCCCTTTTTTTACCTTACAAAACTTGGATTTGAAAGTCAGCAGTGATCCTTTAAATCACTACAGTGTCATCTATAACAACATTTGTGACAGGAGTGTTTCTGCAAACCCTCCTCCCACCAACAAGACACTGAAGAACAAGGTGGTTCCCTTTGTTTCCAAACTTCATGATTAAAACCAAACTTAACATAACAATTCTCTGTGTGGATGTGGCACTGGCAGACACGGTTTAGTGGTGAACGTGGGTTGGATGGTTGGACTCCCTGATCTTAAAGGTCTTTTCCAGCCTTACCAATCCTGGGATTCTGTGTTTCCTAGCCCAGTATCATCCCTGTCTGCTTCCCAGGCATCAGATACACAAACAGATACTAAGAACTGTTTGGGAACAGAAAGAGAGACTCTGTTCTGGAGACCAAATTTGTCCCAAACAGCAGCTCCAGTGGAAATGTGGGAGATGAAAAAGGGCATTTGCTTCTGACGTGCATCTGCCATAACACTTCCCACAAATACTGCAATAAAGAGATCATGGGTTATTTTCCCCCCATTGTTATTCACGTGGTGTTTTCTCAAGTATTTTGGTATGTTGTAATATCAAGTAAAGAAAGAATAAACTCTGAGCTCACAATGAAATCACTGGAGAGGTGTAAAGCTTCGAAGTGCATTTGAGATGAAATAAGGAAACGTTCAGATTCTATAAATAGAATCTATGGAAAAGCAAATCCCAGTGTTTTACTTCCAGACAAGCAGCTGGGATTTCTGCTGCAGGCACTGCAGCCCCTAAATTCAGTCTCAGTAATTCTGTAACATCAGCTTAGGCCAGCCACAGTTCATCCTCTGGGAAGGTCTGGGACAAGTGGAGACGTAAAGTATTATTTATATCCTTTTTGAGTCACTCATTTCTCCCTTGGAGTGTCTGGTAATAAAAGAAAGTCAGTCCTAAAGCATTACACACTCCTCTCTGTACTCGAGCTGACAGGTAAACTGCCAGTGGTAGAATAAATATGCAAAGCCCAAATGCATCCAGTGCCTCGGTAATATAAGTATTTTAAATTTACACCAAAGTTTCCTTTTTATCTATTTCTATCTATTTCCTTTCTATCTGCTCCTCTGGGCTCCTCAGCATTTGCAAGGAAAATTCACAGCATTAAAGTGTGGACACACTTATCACACCACCGAATGATTAAATTTTATATTAACTACTGAAACTTCAGGGGGGTTTAAACTCCTCTTGACTATAATATTGCAACTACTCGTGCCTGTCAGATTAGTTTATGATTAGGTTTATGAGCGTGCGCTTCAGCTGACACTAAAACAACTGCTGTCATGTGAACTCTTCCCAGACATTTTAACCCAAAGAAGTTTCAGGCACTCCAAAAGTAATTGTCTCAGAGGTGCAGGCTCATTTTATCAAGCCAGAATTTTATTTCCACTGAAATTAAACCCCAGGAAGTCGACAGTCGATTCCGAACATTATCCACATGTCTTAATTATGCAAAATTTTCATCAACTGTCATTTTTTCCAACCATAAATTTCCTACCCGCTTTCCTGCCTCTTTTACAACTACTATAAATATTAAGACTACGCAGTTGTAAACATCTCTGAGATGATAAAAATATTTAGAGAGTGGAGTCCAGATGGAAATTACTGTTCAGCCACTGGGAGGGATTTGTTACATGAGCAAACACACATCAGAGCGTGGCTGCTACTTGAGCTTGTAAATCACATCTGGTATTTGCTGCTGCAGAGGGAGCAGTTGGGGCAATCTCCGAGCAGAAAAGAAGGGCTGAAGTGATGGTGGTTGTTACCAGGGATGGATGGGAGAGCTGTGGTGCTGCAGCATGGAAGGACCACCACTGTCAGAGAGCTGTAGCTCCTCGGTGGGATGGGACACAATCATGGAATGGTTTGGGTTGGAAGGGACCTTAAAGATCATCTCATTCCACCCCCTGCTATGGGCAGAGACATCTTCCACTAGCCCAACCTGGCCCTGAACACTTCCAGTGATCACAACAGCGTCAGAAGAATACTAGAAATGAACTGATTCTCACTGAGAAGGTTGCAAGGAATACTTTACTGCAAAGCTTCAAAACCCTAATCAAACATGATTCCTAATTCCTCACAGCTACTGTCCCAAACACCACGTAACCCATGGAGTGGGGGAAGACTTTGGACTTCTATGGCAAATAATTATTTTTCTGAAACTCTTCTCTTCCATCTGCATTCCTGCTTAAGCCAACGTGAAACATGGATGTATCTGCACATCAGTCACACTGAAATGTGAGTGGCTGGTCAGGTGCATCCACACTGGGAAGAACAAGGTGTCAGCAAAGGAGGGATTTACAGGCTGTGCCAGGGCAGGCTCAGGGTGGATCTCAGGGAAAGGTTCTTCCCCCAGAGGCTGGTTGGCACTGAACAGGCTCCCCAGGGCAGTGGGCACAGCCCCAAGGCTGCCAGAGCTGCAGGAGGGTTTGGACAACACTCTGAGGGACAGGAGGGATTGTTGGGGTGTCTGTGCAGGGCCAGGGGCTGGACTGGATGGTCCTTGTGGGTCCCTCCCAGCTCAGGGGATTTTATGATTCTACAAGTGCAGCATTGTGTTGCCTCCAGAGATTTTTCAGAAGACAGATACAGCAGACGAGCTACAAAATCTTTGCAACAGGGGAGCCCTGTAGGAGAACAAGGAAAGCTTTTACTCTCATCAATAAGAGACAGGGAACAACACAGGACACCCTTTGGAGAAGGCCAAGAGAGTGAGAAAGTGGATGTAATGAAGGGCATCCTACACAGAAGCAGTTTGGTCACCTCTGCCAGCAATTCCTTCCAGACAGAGAGCCACTGTCCCTCCAGAAGGTGCTGGCTGGGGACAGGGGAGGGAGGCAGCAGACACGAGTCTGGTGTCCTTTGAGCCCCCCAGTCACCTCACAACCTCTGCTGTTGGTCAGTCCTCACAGGAACGTTCTCCTGCTCCCAGGTACAGGCTTCTATCAACCTCCTGATGTGCTGGGCAGTCACCCAGTCTGGCTTTACCCATAACGCCCAACACTGTCCGTGGACTGACCTGCAACGGCCGCATCGAGCTCGTCCTCCTCCACGGACTCCTGGGTGAGCAGCTCTGCCAGGGGGGACAGGGGGTAGCAGCTGTTGAGGTTCAGCCCCAGCATGAAGTTGTGCACCTTGCCAGCACGGCCCTCCCTGGTGTTGAACAGGGCACTGTCCCCCACCAGGGCCATCAGCATGCGCTGCACCCAGCTCTCCTGGCCGCTCTCCTGGCCACTCTCCTGGCCGCTCTCCCGCTGCTCCTGCCCGGCCTCGGCGCTCCCACTGCCTGCAGGGAGCAAGGACAACACCACGGGAGGGTAAACACAGCACTGCTGGGGCTGCCAGAGCCAAGGACCCACAGGAACCACGCCACAGCATCATCTCCACGAGCTGTGGGCTTGGTGAGGGAGCTTCGCTGCAGCAATCCCAGAGGAACGGGGACAATCCACCCTCGGCTTTCCATCTGCACTGCAACAGTGTGGATGTGACCCTCAGGAAAACAGATTGGGAATGTCTTGGATGACCCATCTGGATGAGGGCAATGAGGCAACTCTCCCGGGCTCAGGGGCAGACAGACAGACCTGAGTTGCCAAAATCTATGCTCTGTGTAAAGCTGAATTCTGCTGGATGGGCACTGCCAGCCTTCTCCATCCTTTGCTGATAGCCAGAAACCCATTTTTCCTCCAGAAGGCATAAAAGAATGCATGAAAATCCCAAAATAACTAAAATTAAAAATAATTAGCATGGGAATTCTAAAATATCTGAAAATACACTTACGGTAAACTGCAGACTGCAATTAATATCTGGTTTTAATTAACTGAGGAGCACAATGAAGCAATCAGACAATGTCCGCAGCTACAGCTCAATGGAGCTGATTTTTTATATTAGCAGGGAGAAGCATCACAAAGTGCAGAGGTTCAGCATCTGCACAACATTCTATGGAAGTGAGGGGGATTGCCAAGTGCTTGCAATCACAGATTTTTAGGTTGTTCACTATGGCTTCAAAACTATGAGAGAAACGGAGTGTTTGGTGCTGGCTGTAATGATTAAACAGGAAACCCACAAATAAACACAGAATGTGGTACCACCTACTATTTTACACATAGGGGGAATTGAGGTAGTGACACAATTCACTGCCTCATCACACAGGATTTTCTTTTCTTCCTGTAGACCCTGAAATCACAAACAGCTGCATTCCCATCTTTGTATTGCTTGTTAAAATCATAACCAGGGTCTTTTCAGGTGAAAATCACTGTTGGCCCCAAAAACACCATCAGAAAGCATTGTCAGGCTGAGACTGAGTCCCTGACTAAAACTAGAGAAATCTCCAGGTGGTTTAGATGCTTGAAGATGATTTTCAATAGGATCTTTTCTTCCCACTGCCAAACACTCTCTTTGTGGTTGCACCTCTCCTGGGAAGCTGGATTTGGGCATTGTTACAAACCCTGAGCCAAAGCTCCAGGAATTTCCTGTATCAGATGTCATTTATACAGGTGCCAGAAGACACCTGTGAACGTTGGAACCACAAACTGAACCAATCTCTGGTGAATATTTGATCAAGAAACCCTTGAAAACAATGGAAAGTTTTAGTTTGCTGGGCTGGTGACAATTCCAACATGGCTCTGAGCTCAGCTGCTTGCTGGGAACAGCCCTCACTGGCTCAGCAAACCACAGTTTGGGGGGTGTGTGGAATTCCAGAGCTCTGGGAAGCCCCACTGGGGTTCAGGACTGAGGATGTGTGAGAGAATCACCTGATGATGAGCTCGAGCAGGAGGCAGGAAGTCAAGCCAAGACCTCCTGGTCTCCTGTTCCTCATTTCTCTGCTTTGCTGAGCTACACAAAAGCTGCAGGAAAAAAAAAGGAAATTAGGAATGAAAACCGATCATTTCCTTACCTTTTGGATGCTGTGATTCATCTTCACTGTCTGAGCTGTCGTTGCTTACAAGGTGCTTTAGCCTGATATTTTCTGTTAAAAGAAACATAAAATTCCTTTAAACTGCTGGGCTTTAACTCTCAAAACAGCTCAGAATTTCACAGCAATCTGAGTCACAAAACCAGCCCAGTCTTTGTGATAGAAAATACAGCTGAAGAGACTGGATCTGCTGTGGACATTACAGCAGCAGATTTTGGCTTTAGCCTCCAATTTGGGGGCTGAGAAAACAAAATCTAATCCTAAAGCAGAACCTCTCACCCCCCTCTGCACCCCATCTGACACAATTCATCCCAAAACCAAAAATTCCTGACCAGAAATGGAAGCTAACAAAGCCAACAAATGCACTTTTTGGAAATCAAATCATCTCTTTAAAGAAACCCCCAAGGAAAATTCATTGTTTACTCCCCCAGGTGTGATTTACACATCATCCTGTGGGCAGCACCAGCTCTTCTGACGTCCCCTGGAATTTTGGCCTTCACTTTGGCGGTCCCAAGGTGTCACTGGGACATCTTCAGCTCTGCTCAGGCTGAGGTTGAAGCCACATTAATATTTTCACAGCTGATCCCACTTCACAGGATATTTTTAAACTGAGATGTGAAATGAGTCAGAGATGAAAGATAATATTCTCAATACCTTTATATAATATAGACATATATCTTTATATAATATAGACATATCCCTTCATATGTCTCTCAGTATCTTTAAAAAGCAGGAACACACTTTTCCATGATCACATTTATGGCCAGGGATCCTCCATGAGTAGGTGTTAACACCCATGAAGTGTATCAGATATAGGAACCCAAAGGTCTCATTTTCATCCCTAAATAAGGAGGTTATCAAACAGCTGAATTCCATCACTTAGGAGACAGAGACACCCAAGGGACATGTGTGTGCTTTTTGTTGGGTTGGTTTTTTTGTTGTTTGGGTTTTTTTTTCAAATCATCTCCATGTCCTTTTTCTTTCTTGCTCTTCAGAAAAATCTGCCTGTCGAGTACAATTTATTTGTTGGCCAGGTAATGCTGCCCTCTGGATGGGAAACAAAAGTGTAGAAACCTCCAACCACCAACTACATTCTCGAATAAAACACAAAAAAGTCCATCCAAACCACGCTAAAATTCTTTCCTTACAGTCATCATACCATTGGTGTGTTCGGAATGAAACCAAGCTCATTAAATCAGATACCAGAAGGTTGTGGGAGAATGGAACATTAACAATCCAGAGATGATCAAATTTAGGACTATTTTACTAATCCCTTGAATAAGCAGTGCAGTGTCAGGAGACTACATAAGTGACTATCAAGTCCTTTGTCAGCTTCTGGTCTCCAAAAATCATCAAAACAACATAAAAAGAGGATTTGGATTCTGTGAACTTCCTGGGAAGAGCTGGATGTGTAATGCAGGATCACTGAGCAGAAACAAAAGTGAAAGGAAGAAAAGAACCCTCCTAACCCTCCTTCCCTCCCTCTGCAGCATCTTGCAAGGTCAGCAATTAAAGTTAATTAATTAAAGGGCTCCCAGCAGTGCCATCCTCCCACAGAGGGAGAGGGCACTGGATCCTGGCAGTAATGGTTTGCACAGTAGAATTATTTTACTAATCTTACCTAATTCTTCTTCCATGGTGGGGCCTTTATTCTGAGAGTTGGAGACACCAAGCACTCTGTTAAATAATATGGAAAATGCACTGCCCCAAACACCTGGAAGAGGGAAATAAATAATGAAGGCAGGTCAGCAGAAGGAAAAAAAAAACCACATATTTTAATAATCTATTTAAGCAGCTGGTTGCTCTCTGAACACACCTCTGGTTTCGGAACATGCTCAGATGTCCAAACCAGAAACAAAAAAACAAGAACTGCCAATCCACGTCTGTGAAATCTTTCCAGTTAATCTCTTCCAGCTCACTCAGAACTCTACTTCTTGTCTCGCACTTGGTGTGACTGCATTTAAGAGCCCTTGTCCACGAAATTATTATTATTTTGAAGCCTCTTTCTGTCCCATACTCACCCATGAGGAAATGCAAGGGATTTTCATTGTACTTCTTCACCACTGTCCCCATGAAAAACTTGCTGCCAAACAGATCAGGAGACATGAAGGTGCCATATTTGGCCATACCAATCTCATAGGGACTGAATTCCACCCAGTCTGCAAAAATCAGAAACAAAACTGGGCTTAGTCAGCAATCTCCACTTGAACAGAAATGAGGAGGAAAACACAGAAATGAATGAAACCTCTGTGCAAGAAAAGAAACTGCAGAGAAATGAGAAGCTGAAAAACCAAGAGGAAGGCTCTGAAGAAGCCAAAACGTTGATTTCAAATGAAGGACAGCGATGTCCCAACAGGGAAGGAATTCTCAGTCCCATTTTCTTTTATCACAAGAAACTTGGTGAAAAGAAAAAAAAAAAAAAAAGAGGCTGTAAACCCAGAAATATTAAAAGGAGTGATCATGACTGAGAAAAACACAAGGGCAGCTGGTTTCCACCTCATGCTTCACCATCACTCCCTGCCACACCGAGTGGAACGTGGGGCTGAGGTCCAAGCTTCTTTTCCTTCAGTGTGATTCTACCAAAAATGTGAAAGGCAGGGATAAAAGTGGCAGAAAAATGATTATCACAAAGGTTGTGAAATATTCTAGGAGAGGTATTTGGATTCCACCCAACCCAAAAGCTGATGGTGAAATCTAATATGCAAAGGCAAAGCTGAGAGGCAGCTGGTAAACTTATGAATTCTAACACTGCCAAAAATATGTTTTAAATCCTTTTTTTTATTGAACAGAGCTCAAAAAAAACCATGGAATAAAATGTGCAAATTCATTTTCTGATCTTGGCAGAAAATTTCCGAAGTGATTTATGTTCTACTGACATAGGCCATCTTTGAAAATGGATTTTAGCTGACTTGGAAATACTTCCTTTGGTACCAGTAGAGTACTTACATCAGAGAATTCATTTCAAAAAGCAAATAAACCAAATTTATCCTATATTGTTAGTATTTCACTCATTCACCTGTTTTCCCTTCCCTATTTTTAGCAGTGATTGACTTGACTATTCATGTAAACAACTCAGAAATAATTCTGCAAGAGAAAGGCAAAAGAGATAACCACCCACAGATCTTCACACTCGCTGGAGCAGAAGGGAATTCCTTTGAAGACCCAGTCTAGCAATTTGGTGGTACTTCCCTTTAGCTCTACCAACGTGACTTGGCCCATATTCAGATATTCACAACCAGGGGGCAACAGAGCTGAATGGAGAATTAGAATTAATTTAATCTTTGAGAGCCCACCTTCAGCTTGAAGAGAATTTCTCAAATCCCACATCCTGCTCAGGGAAATAAAGTCTCTGCCTTAAAATTAAAGGGCTGCAGCATTACTGTCTGCCATTCCAGAAGCTCCTTGAGACAGTGGCCACTAACAGAGACTGGAAGGTCCCTCTGAAACCTGGAATTTATCCCTCCAGGCTTCCCAAATTAATTCTATAGCACTTACAGAGCAACACACTCACTCTCAGAGGGTGTAATGACTGCCAAGAACAAAGCCCCCAAATCCAAGCCAACCTTTAACCCTGGATAGCAGCATCTTCAGGTAACCTTTTAATCATTAAAGAAGCTGTCACAATTAAAACAAAGAGCTGTCTTCAGCTAAATGACTCTAATTATGCTCAGTGAAAATGCTTAGTGCAGTTCTGGGTAGGCCACACCACGTGGTGTCACAGATGCTCTTGGGGAGGGAAAGATCAGATCTTGTTATCTGATAAAATTAACGCTTTTCAACGTGGAAGGTCTTGCCTCCAACCATAACCAAGTCAACAAGGAAGTGTAAAATAAATATTTCTGTTCAAAACATCATGAGAACAGTTCTACAAGGAGGAAAAAAGCCTAAAATAGAAACAATAAAATCTAGCACCCTATGGAATGATAGATGACAGCCCAAAAAAAGCAAACCCAAGACCCACTGCCAGAGGCAACACCTTTTCTAGACCAAAGTAAGGCCTTCAGGTGCTTCTGGTCTTGCTTAGACAAAGTCATTATTAACTAAAGATGTTTCTTAAAGCATTAAATAAGCAATGCAGAAAACAGAAGCTCATCTAAACCTCAACAGGCTCCTATTTTCCAATAAAAAGGTATCAGTTTCTTAAGTAGGAAAGTTAAAGACATTTCCCCACAAAAAATTTAGCCTAATTTACACCTCATTTCCCATTACACCTCAACTTCTGAGAACAACTGTTCCAAATAGCTATTTTAGGAAACACAATGACTTTTAAACCTGGGGCAAACCACTTGGTACTTCCCTTCTCAGTCCTGTATAGAGCTAGAAATACACAGACACATCCTGGGTAGCATCTTGCACAACTGGACCCCCTCTCAACCGAGGTTTCTAGATGGGATCAAAACCTATGGATTAAATAAGAGCAAAAGCCCCTTTTGCATCTCCAACAGCACCTTCACACTGGGCAAGGGCTAAAAAGGAGACAATATATCTAAATTATTTGTTCCAGTTTAATCACAGAATCACTCAGGTTGGGAAAGACCTCCAGGATCATCAAGTGTAAGTGTTACTTTCACCCTTCCTAGAAAGGGGAATAATCCTGTATGACTGAACACATCTCCCTTTAGGTGTTTGATACACCAATGGTAAGCAGTTTTTCCCTGTTCGAGACACCAGATTCCTTTTCATCCTGTGCTCAGCTCCTTCATGGGGAAGGAATATTTTTTTTAACAATTGCTAGGAAATCAGTTTTTGAACACAACAAAACCTGGCCACCACTTCCCGTTTCTCAGGGCTGTTATGGTGTCAGATTTATTTTCAGGTTGAAAAAAAAAAATGGTTACAAAATGGTCTAAGAATAAAAGTCTCCAAATCCAAGAATGATAGAGAAACAAAAGGTTGTGGACCCAAAATATAGGCTGTTTTCTCTCCATCTACAGGAAAAGATGCATCTTAAAAGCAAGAAAAGGCTCAGTTCCATGGTGTGCCACAACAAATACACCCATTTGATGCCTCTTCTCCACAGCCCTGTAACCTTGGTGCTAATCCTGCACCAGAGCAGGAAACATCCACCTACCCAAGTAAGGGATCCCCAACCACAGAATGGGTTGGGTGGGAAGGGACTTTAAAGCCCATCCAGTGCCATCTCAGGGGACCTGCTGCTCCCCCTGCTTTGGATGTACCTACCACATATAGATGTATATGTACACACACACATATTTACACATAAACACAGAGATACTCATATATACACACATATATACACACAAATACATGTGTACATATATGTGCATGTGTGTGTATATATATATATATATATCTGTATTTTCACCTACTTCAGTGTATGTGATCACTTATCCCTGAGCCACCCTGTCCTCAGACTCTGCTGTCAGATTCCCAGAAGCCACACAATTAGTCTCAGAAGTATTTTTTTAAAAAATTGGGGTTTTTTTTCTCATCCACACACTTCTCTCTTCTTGCCACAAGTGACTCAACACCCAGCTTGGAGACATACCTGCAAACATCAGCTCTGACACGTCTGGTTTCACGTGGAGACACGTGAAGAGGGGCAGGGCACACTGGGCATTGTTGGTTTTCTCTTTCATGTCGCTCAAAGTGGTGTCCATTCTCTGCAGGAAAGAAAGAGATCAGTTCCAAACAGATCCTGTACAGGTCTGCTGATATTTATATATCCCTATATATATATATATCTGGATTTATCAGTATATATATGTAATATAACTATTAATATAGCCTATTTATAAATATAATTCTATGCTATTATATATTCTATATAAATATAGGCTTATTTTCATATAGCATATAAAATATATAATATATTCTCTAAACTAGATTTATATATGTTTATATAAATATATTTCTATATTTACATTTATATAAAGACTTGGCAGACCCCTCCTTTCTCTGAAATTTGAGAAGGAAAATGGACAAACTCAGTTACTTCTAAGAAAACCGGAAGAACTGATGAAAGGAAATAACTTGCCTTTAGCTGCACAATTCAGGAAGGAAGGAGTGGGAGAGGACACAAGAGGAAGATGAAAGGAGGGCACGTTACAGAAGCCAAAATAACCTGGCCAAAAAGCCAACAGAATCGCTGCACAAAGCAAGGTCCTGCCCTCTGCTGTGTTGCCTGTTTTTCAGTATTTTAAGTGTTTAAAGCCTGATAACAGTTTATGCTCATGAAAGACACAAGTGCATAAAACACATCTGTGACTATTTACACATTTCAATCTTGCCATCAGATCAAACCCAACTGCTGCTCACCTGACACATTTGAACTTTGTGTTTGTGATTTAGCCAGGATCGTCCAACCCTAACTGATCCATTCAGGATTGTTGAATAATAAAAATACAACAGTATGAAGCTCTCCTGTTGTCTCTTTTCTCAGAAAACCACATAAAAATAGATAGAGATGTGGATCTTTCACTTTGAAATTAGCACTCTGTTAAGCAAATGCTGCTTTTTTTTATAGCAAACTGTGCATGAAGAGGTCACACCACAGTGTAAATTTTGTTGAAATGGTTTGAGCAGGAATTTTAATGTTGACACACAATGTCAAGAGCTTGCTGTAAGTACCCAGAGGCTGAGTTCATCCCCCAGAGCAAGGAGGGCCTTTTACAAGTGTCTTATCCAGTATCTGCCCAGCTGTAACTTTAAATATTTCTATTGTTAAACACGTTTTGGCAAATGTTACCAAGGTCATTTAAAAAAAAAAAAAGGCAGTAACAGTGGTTGCTACGCAATAATTTCCCAGCTCCAAGAGTGACAAGAAAAGCCTGGAACTCACATCATGGATAAGTGTTTCCCCTATCAGCATTCCAAAGATATCCGTGAAGGTGACGGGCTGCCCCGAGCTCTTCTTATTCCACAGGGCCTCGATGTAGCGCTTGACTTTCTGAGGAGTGAGCAGCAGGAGGGGGTTGTGACTCACACAGTTCATCAGCTCCTCATTGATCTCCTTCGGGCCCTTGGCTGGAAAGTCTGGGTGTGAGTACAAAGTTGACATGTACCTGCAATGGAAAACGGGCCACGGATCAAACCTGCTCCAGTGGCAGCTGCCTGAGAGCTACAGCGAACTCATCAATAATCTGAGACAATTCCTGATCAAATCAGGGTAATCTATTTACCATTTATACAGTAAATTGTCCTTTCTTTTTTTTCTCCAGGCACAGAAAGCTAAACTATTTGTTCTACATGTAAGCAAACCATCCAACATTGGGCAAACATTTCCATAGGTGTATGATGGAAATGCCTAAAGTGTCCCCATCTATCTGTTTGAGGGATAGCAGAAAGAATCACCTTAAGCTGAAGAAGGAGCTCCTGCTTCCCAGGATCTAGATGCTCCCAGAACAAGCTGAAGCACAGCAAGTACAACCTGTGCAGAGAGTTAATTGCCTGGGAGGATCCAGAAGAGACCTATCTTGATTTTTGTTACTGAGAGACAAGTTTAGTTTACTCAAAAACAAAGTTTAGCCACACATGCAGGAAACCATGGCTTTCACTTGGCTGCATTAAGCAACACCAAGACTCAAGATAGGCTGTCCTAATCTCCCAGAGGCTGATTTACTATTATTTACCCAGTGACCTGGCTCAGGTACACATCCCACAGTGCAGGCACAGCTCAGACACACACTCAGTTAGCCTGGCCCTGAGGTCACTGCCCAGCAGTTTATCTGTCCCACAAGTGATGCAAGAACTTGACTCAGGATTCTGGCCCAGGCTCCAAAGCTGAGCATGCACGTCAGCTCCTGGGTGCAGCAGCAGCAGCAGCTTCCATGGGAGCAGGGAAAGGGAAGTGCAGGCTGGAGAATCAGCAGAAGGTGGAAGAGGGATGACAGAAACACTCAGGGAGGTCAATGCATTGCTCCAAGGTTAGGCATGCAGCTGAGGGGACAAGCAAAAACCTGCCTCTCCTGCCAGGAAAGGAATTCTCCACCCTTCAGGGAAGAAAAGGAAAGAGCATTAGTCCCAAGTACTAGACTGCATGGAAAAAAGAAAAGGGAGTGTCAAAGTGTCAATTTATTTGTTCATCAAGCAAGGAAAGGCTGAAGAGGTGACATCAGACAGCAAAAGCAAATTTGTTCAAACACAACAGCTTCCAATATCTGTCTCTGGCTGAAGCAGTTCAGATAATCTATTCTCACACAGATTTGACAGGTTTACATTACATCAGCTATGCGTTTTCCCAAAGGAGTCCTCAGAACCAGCAGGCTGAGGTCTGTTCAGGGCATGGACTACAAACCCTTCCCTACAGACACAGCCCATGTTTCTCACACTCCACTGCTCTTCATCCAGCCAAATCATGTCTTCTGCTTTCCACAACTCTGGACATCCAGGCCTCTCAATGGACAGGGATAAATCTGCCCCCAGCACTAACGACAGAAAACCCAGATTCAGGGATGCCAGCCTTTTATGGTCCAATCTGAAGGAGAGACTTACTCTAGTTCACAGACACTCCTGGCATTTCAAGACCTCCTGGCATTCTGAGAGCTTCCAGTTAGTCTGGAATTGGGGAAGCAAGCTCCAAACAATGGAAAATAACTGACAAAAAAACCCCCACAAGGAATAGGACTGGTCACTATCTGTTTCAAAGAAATTTTTAAGTCTTGAGGTTAGAATGTGTAGAACCAAAATTCAGGTGCTTCCCTAGAGTTAAAACACGGGATAAAACTCATCCCAGGCAGATTCCCTGCTCGCTTATATTCAGCTATTCCAACAAAAGTCTTTTCCTAGAAAAGAGACATTCACATAATCTTACAATTTAGACTGACAGGACCCTCCTGCCCAATGCAGAGCCAACTTCAGTCAGCTCAGGTTGCTCAGTCAAGTTCTGCTTTTGGATGAGCATCCCCTGAGTCAGACAGAGAGAGGATGACACCAAACCCAGCCCAGTCAAGCCAGGATGGGTCAAAATATTCCAGAGCTTGGACACTCACTGCAAAATGGATTTCTTATTGTTAATCAGTTTACTCCTTGTCCTTTCTCCATGTGTCTCCAAAAAGAGTTTGTGTTCTTTACAGCTCATCAGGAAGCTGAAGGTAACAGTGAGATCTCTCCCCACTTCCTCACAAGCTCTAGTCCCCTGATTGCCTCGGTGGTACTCTCATGGAATTCATCCAGGTTTTCAACACCTTTCTTGTACTAGGTGGCCCTAAACTGGATTGAGATGCAGCTCCAGTTTTCAAACTGGTACAGTTAGGATAAAATCCTGTTTTGTGACATTTGGGACACATTTGACACATATTTTTGCCTTTAAAAAGTTCAAAATTGTCTTAGGATACAAAATCCTCTACTGCAAACTGACCCAGTGACATTAAAACCAAATTTTACTGCTAGACAAAAAGAAGCCTGCCATGTTTTTACTGAATGAAAAAAGTGGGATGTTAAGGAGTTTAAATGGAATTTGTCAGATGGCTTTGGCTGATGAAAAGTGACACACCTTTTAAATATGTTACATCATTTCAGCTCAGAAACGTCCAAACAAATAGTTTCAATGTTTGTAATAAGATGCTTGTAAGAAGTGTAATTTGGGATGGTTTTTACGAGAGCCAAGAAGGTAAAAGGTTCACAGCACTGGGCAGGGAGAAGAGAAACCTTCTCACTCACAGGTGGTTAAGGCAGACAGAATTCTGGGGTTCAAAGCATTCTGCTGCCTGCAGGCTCCTTTCACCCACACTGACATCACTCTGATCTTCTCCTGGGGATGTTATTCCTGTTACTGGGCTGCAGCACCCCCTGAGTCACACATAAGGACATCATACCTCATCAGGGCAGCCTGATTGAGGCATCTGGGAAGATCTTCACTCCCATCTGACTAAAAGCCAATGTAATTTCTAAATGAAAGTGACCGTGGGAGTAAGACAAAGGCAATCCATAGTGGGATGCTCTGAAGCGTGGCAGTCAGGCCCCAGACATTCCCAGTAAACCCACGAGGAAGGGGACTACTGGGTCTGAAACGGAGCAAAAGATCTTTCAGAGAAGCTCTGAAAAGCCTTCCCCATGTTGGATTGGTTGAGTCATCAGCTTCAAATCATAAGGGATTTTTTTCCCCCCACATTTCATCAGGAACATAAAAAAACACACAAAATATACTTTGAGTTTATTGCAACAGCCTGAATTCCTAATCTTCTGATTATGGAGATGAATGTATCATTTACACAGTCCTATCACATGCAGTATTGGGGGTTGATACAGAAATGGGGGGGTGCATGTGTGGCACCTCTCTCCATCCATTCCTGCTCTCAAAGCTCTTGGGAAGATCCCCTGGATCCTGAGATGTCCTGACCCTTCAAGGCATTCTGGAACACCTCCATACATCAGAGACTCCCAGAGTGGTTTGGGTTGGAAAGGACTTTAAAGCTCATCTCATCCCACCCCCTGCCCAGGGCAGGGACACCTTCCACCAGCCCACGTTGCCCCAAGCCCCGTCCAACCTGGCCTGGGACACTCCCAGGGATCCAGGGGCAGCCACAGCTTCTCTGGGCACCCTGTGCCAGGGCCTGCCCACCCTCCCAGCCAACGATTCCTTCCCAATATCCAACCCAAACCTGCTCTCTGCCAGTGACCTGCCCCACTCTGCTGCAAGAGAGCTGTGTCTGGATCTCTTTTCCACGCTGACAGTGCATGTTTAAAATCTGCTGTTGATTTTAACCACAGAAATAAGTCAGCCCTCAAGAAAATTCATTCTTGAGCCTCCTGAAGAAAACCTGCAGCAAACCAAAAGACAAAGCCCCTTACCAGGTGGATCCAGAGAGCCCGGCAATGTAAGTGGCACAGTCCAAAACTCCTGACTCATAAAGTGCTTTCATGACTCCAGCAAAGCCCACCATGGCACGAAATCCACCTCCCGAGCCCAGGATCGCTATGACCGGGACCTGCAGAGAGGAGAGGACAGGGAATCACCACAGCAGCTCCCACCAACGCTGACAAGTGGTAAATAAACATTAGCTGCCACCGAATCCCAGAATGTCCTGAGCTGGAAGGGACCCACAAGGATCATCCAGTCCAGCTCCTGGCCCTGCACAGACACCCCAACAATCCCAGCCTGTCCCTCAGAAGAATTAGAATTTATTTGAAGAAGTCGCCACTTGCAGCAAGATTTCTAAGCCAAAACATAGTCAAAATTTCTTTAAAACGTCTGTTCCTCTTATCCATAATCCAAAATACAGAAGATATTAAATTTAGTTATTAAATAAACTATCTGGTTTCAAGACCACAAAAATTTTTAAAGCAATTCTAACACCAGCTTTAACCCAATTCATATCTTTGTGACAGAGCCAAAAGCAGTAAAAGCTACTAATCAGAAACAGAAGAGACAAATATTATTTTGGCTAGGAGTTTAAAAAGACATTTTATAATAAAAACATCTGATATTACAACATAGCATAGTCTCAAATTTACCACTACCTTGCAAAAACTACCAGAGAGGTAACAGGAATTTATGTGGATCTGAATAACTTCTCATCTACCCAAAGAGACACAAGCAGACATGGTGACCCCATATTAAAAATGTATCTACAGGGGTTTAATTTTCTATTTCTCTCCTTCTTACTTCCCAGCCTGACTGCAAGGCTGTTCCCTTCCACTGTACAAGTATCTAAAAAGAGGCAAAATCAAACCAAAATTCACTTGCTACCACTGTCACGTGTTTTGGTCTAAGCAAAGGGCCCATCTGGTTCCCAGCTTCCAAAACCCAGAAGAATTTTCCACCCTTCAGTGGTAATAAAGCAAAAACCTCTCGGTGGTTACCAAGCATTAAAGGAATTGCACAGCTGGGCAGAAAGGCCCTATCTGATCAAACTGGTAATCTGTCAAAAATCCTCCCTGAAAGGCAATTTAAGGTGCCAATAGATGGGATTAGTTACAAGAGAAGATGCACGTGGTTCCTGAGTTCTGGTCCTTCCTGCAGACCACAACACTCCCTGGAGACTGACAGCACACTGTCACAAGGACGTGACCATGAACAACAACTAAGGAAGCTGAGAGGCTCCCATTCCCCCAAACTGCTTATTCTTGATGCAGTAACATTACTTGATCACCCTCACAAGTGTTAGTAATAGAAACCACAGGTATTCCCTGGCACCAGCACTCGTCACACAGCTCCAGAGATAAATATCTATCCAAAAAATGACAAAGCACAGGTAAGGATTTAGGATGTGCCTGTTTTGTTAAGCCAACACCCCAACAGTGGAGCAGCTGCTTTGAACAGAGGAGCAGAGTCAGTAATCACACCTTTAATAATGCACCTTAGGCTCTGAAAGCTCCTCACCACCGCTGCCCACTCGACCTGACCAGACACATCCCAACAGACTGGAGTCGGTGGTTTGCAGGTGCAAGCCTGGAAAGGGTATGTGAGAGCACTCCCAGAGCAGCCCTGCTCAGCCACTCTGCTCGTGGGGGAAGCAGCACAGGGAAAGTGTGAGTGTCCTTCAGGATGCAGAGCAATCCGTTATGGAGATGAGCAACAAACGGTGAGCGGAGTCACCAACATCCGACTGCAAACACTCCCTGTCAGCTGCATCCACAGGAGCTCTGGGCACCACAGAGCCCTGCACGGGGGAGGGGGGATATACCGGGGGGGATGTGGATCAGAGAACCATCAGGGAATTGTTAGGGTCAGAACAGACCTCGGAGATGATCACACCCGACTGCCAGTCCAGCACCACAACCACGGTCACCACTAAACCATGTCCCCAAGGGCCACATCCACACGGGTTTTGGACACCTCCAGGGGTGGGGACTCCACCCCTTCCAATGCCTGGACACCCTTTCCAGCAAGAAATTTTCCCTACTGTCCCCCCTGCCCCTCCCCTGGCCCAGCTGGAGGCCGTTCCCTCTCCTCCTGGCCCTGTTCCCTGGGAGCAGAGCCCGAACCCCCCCGGCTCCCCCCTCCTGTCAGGGATTGCAGAGCCAGAAGGTCCCCCCGAGCCTCCTTTTCTCCAGGCTGAGCCCCTCCACTACCCCATGGCTCTGCACAGTAAATAAAACTTTTAAATGAGGAAAACAAATAACTGAAGAGAAGCATCTGCTGCACATTTAATTGATTTATTTCAGCCCACTGAATAAAGATGACTTACAGCATAAGTCACGTGATGAAGGTTCAGAGTCCTTTCCTGCTTTGCAGAGGAAACAGGCAGGTTTGTTAAGGCAGTTTTTTAGCTCCAATTCAGGGCATGAAATGGTAAAATTTGAAATCAAATACACCAATCCTACATGTTGCCCTCTAGGACAAAGAGGGCAGAGGCAGAGGGGACGTAGCTGCAGCCAGAGCACACAGGGCAAAGGACCAGGAAGCCACCTTCCAACTGAAGAAGGGAAAAAAGAGAGGATACCAAGGCACCCACACTCCTCCACAGACATGCCCTGAACCCCAAGTCCTTTGCAGAGAACCAGTGAAACTCGGGCAGAGGTACTAAATCCATTCCAGCACATCAGTAAATTCAAACCAGAAGGGTACATGACTCATGTGAAAGTGATGCCGTGAGTCAACAGCAGAAAAGGGAGTTGAATTGACAAGTCTTGGAGACAAAAGCCCAGTGCTCTGATCTCTGGCCACACCACCAGCCTCCATTCTCCATGGCTGTGCCCATTTGTGAACACCAGAACCAGCGTTTCCTGAAGCTGGTCTGCACAGCAAAGTGCTGAGGGACACCACTAGCTGTGAGCAAACAGCTCAGATCTCCTCCAAACACACTCCACTGAATGTTTTAACAACACGAAATGTTCTGTCCATACATCTGTACTGGTTTGGGATCCAGTGTGGACTGGCTGAGCATCAAATCCCAGAATGGTTTGGGTTGGAAAGGACCTCCAAGCCCATCCAGTGCCACCCCTGCCCTGGGCAGGGACACCTTCCACCAGCCCAGGTTGCTCCAATTCCCATCCAACCTGGCCTGGGACACTTCCAGGGATCCAGGGGCAGCCACAGCTTCTCTGGGCACCCTGTGCCAGGGCCTGCCCACCCTGCCAGCCAACAATTCCTTCCCAATATCCCATCTGACCCTGCCCTCCCTCAGCTTTATCACTCCATGCCCTTGCATAGCTCCACTTCAATCGACAGGCACCTCATCTCAGGTGCCGGCTGCTCCATCACCAAACTGGACACAAAATGGCAAAGGATTGGCAAACAACTTATGCTTTAAGAAAAGCAAGCCCTGAAAAAGGCATCTCATCCTTATCTTCCAGTAATGAAGCAAAGAAGGTAAACCATATTAAATCCGGTTTTGGGAATGAGTGATGCAGAGGTTTTTATCCAAATGCCCTGGAAACACAGTGCACAAAGTCTGAATGCCTGTGGTGGGGAAAAACTGCCACAGGGCACACAAATGATTATTAAAAAACAGTTCTGCAAATCCAGTGACAAGGAACTGTATGATTTCTTCCAGTGATTACGGTATTTTTAGAAAACTGCTCAAAGCAAGAGGAATTATAAAAATAAACTGAGCAACAACACAGGTACGAGGAATCTCCTCCCCTGTGTTTGCAGAATGTGCCTCAGGATTAAGGAAGGAAATCTGGAACTAATCACTTGCCCATCCAGGGATGTCTAATTAATTCAGAGGTAATGAAGTCGCTCAGCATCCCTGCAAGGCACACGTGGAGCCACTCACTGACGAAGCAACTTGGGTGAACTTTAAATGTGGCTTGTTTAAGATTCATCAAGACTCACAGACAGCTAAGACTACTCAATACGTCTCCTGACTTCATGTTAAGACTCCAAACATGCCATAAATCCTACTGCTATCTTCCATCTGTAGCAATAAAAGTAAAACTACAGTTTAATTCGAACAAAAAGAGGTTTTTTTCATTGCTAGAAGCAGTTAAAAATCCTGACAAGTCACCTTAGCAATACAGGCTTGGCATTTGACAAACGGGAGGATCCCATCCCCTCAGTCCTTCCTGGGGGTGATAAACCTACAATTACTGTCTGGGAGGATGCAATTTAACTGATAAAACTGCAGGATTTGAGGCAGTGAGGGATACCAAGGGAAGATGAGGACAAAAAGAACACGAAGTCTTACTTGGCCTTTACGATAATTCCCACACATCAGCCTGAGCATCACTCCAGCTCTAACTGGGTCCTGGCAGAACATCCACATCCTTTCTGAGAAGGGGACTGTTCTGCTACAGAATAGACCAGTGTCACATTGATAAATACCTACTCTGGTAAGATCTGGATGTGTTAAGATAAAAATAACTGAAGTGAAAATTAAGAAACCTCGAAAATGTTCTTTCACAATCCAATTTATCTCACTACAAATAACGTATGTCCAATACTTGCTAAATCCTTTCATCTTCCTCAGAAAGCTCACACAAGCACATCTTACAAAGCAAGACAGAGTTGGCAGTTGAAAAGTATACAACAATAAAACATTTACCACCCGCTCAAAACTTCACAGAAATTTAAATGGAACTCTTCAGTGTTGGCTGCAAGAGACTGTCACATTCTGCTTCTATTAAAATGCACAAAAGGAATCAGTGGCAGTAAATTAATCAACCCCAATTAATTCATGGACTCTGTTCATTGCTTGACATGCCCCACATACACACAGTGTTCCCACCACAATTCTGGGAGCAGAGCAAGGAAGAAAGAGGAGAATGGAAAAGCTGCTACAAAATCAGTGGATCTGTGCCAGGTGTCTCCTAAATTAACTCATGTTATCAAAGAAATAAACTTCATAATCCTAATCCAATAAAACAGGCTAAAGGAAAAGAAGAAACAAAGAGAATAAAATCATTTCTAAGCTGATTCTAAAATTAAAACAGCTCATTTCCTGCCTAATCTTTTAACATGAAGGTCATAGAGCACAGGCTGGGTATTGAGCATGCAGGGGCAGATTCTGCCTTGGGTGGGTGCCCACAGCCATCCCAGGCTCCTGGAGCAGCAGATATTTCACACACCCTCGAGGCATTTTGCAGATGGCAATCTCCTCTCAGAGCCAACACCTTCACAAAGCATGGAATTCAAATGGGAAGAGTTAGAGCAGTTTGTTTAAGGTGCCAGTGCAAATGAATCACAGAATCCCAGAATGGTTTGGGTTGGAAGGGACCTCAAAGCCCATCCAGTGCCACCCCCTGCCCTGGGCAGGGACAGCTCCCACCAGCCCAGGTTGCTCCAAGCCCTGTCCAACCCGGCCTGGGACACTTCCAGGGATCCAGGGGCAGCCACAGCTTCTCTGGGCACCCTGTGCCAGGGCCTGCCCACCCTCCCAGCCAGGAATTCCTTCCCAATATCCCATCTAAATCTCCTTTTTTAGTTTAAAACTATTCCCCCTTGTCCTTAAACATTAACCTATAAATTTACAGCCAAGAAAAAGAAATTACTGTCCAGCCTAAATACTGTATGTTCATGCAGAAAAAGAGGTTTTCTCACTACTATAACTTGTCTTCACATCAAACTCTTCTACCTCACACACCTCAGTCACTCCTCTGAAAGGCAAATACACCATTCCAAAGGTGATGCTCAGCTTGGTGTGAACTCTCCAGACTTACATCACGGGAAGTGGTCAAGTTCTTGCTGTTTTCCTCTCCCAGGAATGATTTGATGCTGTGCATGATGTTCTCTCTCCTCTGCTGCCGAAATTTCTTCTCCTCATCGCACAGGGCCATGCTAAACCGGAGATCTGTGGAAGAGCTGGTTTGCCAAAGAGACAGGCTTTAACAAAAGGTGTAATTCCAAAAAGAAATTCCAGGTATCACCCTGGGAAACGGGTGGCAGTGGCAGTAGGCAGAAATTCCTTATTAGATTTAGTAAGATGAAATAAATTCTATTATTCGTGCAACACGATTGCTCAGCTGTTTCCATGGATCGATGGATGCAAAGTACAATGGAATACTGTGTCTTTAAAATATGAATTTTATATAAAACTCACTAAAAAAAAAATAAATACAGCAAGTAAATTCACCACTCACATACTATTCTAAATCCACAGCACAAATTTTGTACTGGCAGGCCACAGGAAAACCTTTTGCCCAGCTTTTTCCCCACACTCTGGTCTCAAACATGTACACAAGGCTGTGTAAGGACCTCAATGCTGCATTTAAATAAAGCTGCAGCTTCAGCTCCCACTTCCCATTTCAGGTATCAAGGCAGGATGAACAGTTTGCCACCCCGTTTGGACCAGTTAAGTCCTCACTGAGCCTGTGTCACTCCAAGGGTTTGAGCCCAGTCACCTCCCAGCAGAGGAGAGAGGATAAACCCCTGCTGGTACCCACCCCACTGAACTTCCCATCCCAGAATGTCCTGAGCTGGGAGGGACCCACGAGGACCATCCAGTCCAACCTTCAGCCCTGCATAGACACCCCAACAATCCCCCCCTGTGCCCCAGAGGATCATCCAAACCCTCCTGCAGCTCTGGCAGCCTTGGGGCTGTGCCCACTGCCCTGGGGAGCCTGTTCGGTGCCAACCACCCTCTGGGGGAAGAACCTTTCCCTGAGATCCAACCTGAGCCTGCCCTGACACAGCTCCAGCCATTCCCTGGGGGCTGTCCCTGCTCTCCCCAGAGCAGGGATTGGAGCTGCCCCTCAGGAGAAGCTGCAGACCCTGATTTACCCCTACTTACTAAGCTAGTTATTAGGCCTATTAGCTTTACTATTTAAAGCTTAAAATGCTTGCTGTGCCTCCTCTGATACATCAGGTGCCACGCAGCATTTGTCCAGTGCTTTATGAAAAACATAAAAACAGTGAAAAGGATCCATTTAGGCTCAGATTCATCAAACTTCTAAAAAAACATAGGTTAAAAAATTAATGGGATTAAGAAAAAGAGGGAAAAAGGCTGCCTAGAAGCAACATTGCATGAAGATTCATATGATACTCCATCCCCACAGTCTCCAGATATATCAGAACAGCAGCAGAACTTGGTCAGATCCTTTAGTTTAACATATTCCAAAGAGCAAATGGAACCGAGCATCTTCTGCCTATTTAATGTCAGAGATAAGAAACACTCGTGATGTTCAAAGGCTGGGTGGTTTAGGGGTGGTCTCGAGGCCCACCCACATCTGCATCTTTCCTAGTACAAAACAGCGAGCAGAAATTACCCCTGGGGGATGTTTGTGTTTCTCCAGAGTCACTTGGAAAGAGGTCAATGCTTACAGTGCTCAGTGCTGCTATTTATAGTTACCCATAAAAAGGGAAAAATGAAAGTAGGCATCTGCTGAGCCTCACATGTGGCAAAATCCTGGCCCTAAATCTTCACCTCTGCCTTCAGCACCATGTGGCATTAACATTGAAATAATTTTAAAAACAGTTTAGGGGCAGGTCTGGAAGGAGCAGCCATATCTGCTGAAAGTTCATGTGGGATGCAAAGTTCCCACAGGAGGTCAAACAGTGAGGATAAAGCTGAACCTGAGGGCTGTGGGTTTATGAGACAAAAAGCCCTTGAGAAGGAGGGCATTTAAAAGAAATCAGGGTGAGAGATTCCCATGGGATGGCCTTGGGCCTGCAAACATTTGGAAAGGTCATGCTTATTAGTCCAAATAATGGTGTTTAGCCAGCGACAGAATTATAAAATAAACCTGGTTTAAAATCTCCTCACTTTTACTTGGTATTTCTATGCTAAAACAAGGAGGTTTTGCCCTCTACCTAACATGTTTTTAAGAAAATCACAGCAGGCACATGTGGGATTCTCAGGGACTTTGATGATCCTGTGGGTCCCCTCCAACTCTGGATACTCCAGGATTCTCTGAAAAGTCTAATGAACAGATTAAAATGAAAAATACCTTTGCTGCTGATACATTTTCCACTTCTTTTTATAAACAGGAGATACTCACCATACCTCAAGAGACAACTCCAGAGTCATTTCTGTGACCTACACAAAAAAGATTTAAATACAGTTACACCACTTGGAGTTAAAAAACACAAAGACACCTGGAGCATAATCTATTGCCATCAGAATATTCCTTTAAATCACTTTTTTAAAGGGGAGGATATTTCTGACACACATGAATGAGTTTCTTTCCTGTGGATTTTTTTGTTTTAAAGCCCACAGTGCGATTCCCAAACACACCACTAGCACTGAATACAGTGGAAAATGTTGCTCAGGTGCTGACTTCCATTCATCAGATCCCACTGCCTTGGCTTTCTTCCACTGATAATCCCTGACAGAGCTATTCATCTTTGGCCTGAAGGGATCTAATCCTCTTCACCCACTTGTGATCCTTTGTTTTTCCTGCCCCTTGTTTGCCAGGTCACTGAGCAAACTCCATACTCAGCCTCGTAATGACACATTCGGTGTCTTAATTCCACTGTCCTCCAGCTCTACATGGATTATCCTCCTCGTTTGGGGCAGGTGATCACCAGGAACAGAGCTACAACCCCCCCAGACTGAACATCCACAGGACACTCAGAGAGCTGCAGGGTGTGGAAGGGCAAAGCTGCCTCTGGCTCCCACATCCCACCGACCCACCCAAGGCCCAGGAACATCCTCAAATGGGAACTGCAAATCAGCAGGGAGGTGGGAGAAAGAAGAGGCAAAGGGATAACAAAGGGAGGACATGAAGGAACAGAGTGAAGAGTCACTCAGGAATCACTTCAAAGGCAGGGTAACAATTACATTACTCCCCCACCTGACATTACTAAGTTAGAAAGCACTTCAGGAACCACACAGTGATCCAATGCTTAAAAAATATGTCTGAAACAAACCCTTGGAGGGAAACATTCCAATGGAGAATATCATGCCATTTTCTACCCCTTATACAGACTGGCACAGAAACCTCAGGAATACATGTTAAGCATTCACTGTCTCCATCAGGCTCAGCCTGACTTCATTTTCCCTTACTATTTGCTTATAAATTTCAGAGTGTATTTGGCTTTTTTTTACACTGATGTTTGCCCCTATAACTCTCAGCTTTTTCTCACCACCTCACCTCATGCCCGGCAGAACCAGAGCCTGCACTCAGCCCACACCCTGCAAGTCCAAGAGTTACTGAAGCACTTAGTTAAATAAATATGCAGAAACTTCCAAAAATGCAGCAATTTAAAAAAAAAAAAAAAAGACATTCCAACCACCCTAAGGCTAAGTCAAATTAAATGCTAAATCTTCTACATGAAACTCTCTGGTTTCCAGTAAATGGGCCTTAAACCAGTTCTTTGCTGTAAGCACACTTTTAAAGTTATGTCACACAGGAAAAAGCAGAACAGTCACAAATCAAGACCTCTGATCATGTAATAAACCTCAGCCAAAAAGAGAAATGCAGACAGTATTTGAAAGGTGTCCCTGCCCACGGCAGTGGGTTGGAACCCGATGAGCTTTAAGGTTCCCTCCATCCCAAACCATTCCATGACTGTAACACAAGCAGAACAAGCTCAATTCCACACAGATTTAACAACAATTTCCAGGAGTCACTGTGCAGGCAGACAATCCCTGTTCAAGTGATTCCATCTGGTTTGCAGACGTGTTTGAAGGGAATAATCCAGTTACTGCCCTGCTGCGTGTTAACCAGGGCTGTGTTACAACAAGCCACTCACAGAAAGTGAAACATGTAATAATAAAAGAATTCCTGACAGCTTGGTGGAAGCCACAGGCATCAGCAGGAGGGGCAATGCACTGGCCAGCAAACCCTGAGTAACCTCTTGCACCAAGGCCACAAAACTAAACTGCATCAAGTGGGGAAGAAACTGGTTCAGCAAGAGAAAGTTTCAAACCAGGCTTTTAAAGACATACAAAACTGTGGTGGTGTTTTGCTCAATTCTGCTCTCAGCAGGGCTGTAAGAAGATAAATACAGTGCCTTTAGGGTAACAGGGAATGCTTAGAAAACTTCAGACCTTTCAGCTTCAGAGCTGGGTATGCAGAGAACAACCCTCACCCGAGATGCCTCTGTGTGCCCCCAGATATTCAGCTATTTCCTGACTGAAAGGCTGCCACCCTCACCCTATGATGTATCCTAATCCCTTCTGGAATTCATAAAACAGCTGTGTATGAAGAAAAAACATACATATATAGTACTGAGGGAGACCGATGGGATCAGAAACAGCCCCTGATCTCCCTCCATCCAGGAATGAACAAGCCAAGTGTGTTCCTTGCACTCCAGCAAAAACGTTGTACATCCTGGTCTGCACAACAGTTGAGGTGTTCTTTGAAGAACCTCCCACCCTGTTCAGAGCTGCCCCAACAAAAGGCAAAGACACAAATGTTCTGACTTACATCATTGAAAGTCAACTGGACCTCCTTCTTTTCTCCCAGTTTCAGAGAGGAGATGGGAAATGTGGATGTGCCCAGAGTCTCGTCCATAACGTAGTTGGCATCCATGAGAGTAACCTACAAAAGACAGCTGGGTATTCAACTGTACCTCAATCAACCCCTTTCTAATTCTGTAAGAATTAAAAAAAAAATAAAAATGATATGGAAAAGGAATGGGCTTAACCCACCCAGTCAATGCCCAGTGCCAACAGACACGTTCCTTACAACAGGATAAATTCACAGCCAGTGCAGGTGGCACCTCCAAGGTATTCAACTGCAGGAGCACACCAGGATTGTCTACAAAGGGTTTTTCATCCAAGCTTCTTTCTGTCAATAAATCTCACCACCTTTCTAAGCAGGCATAACAACTTCGCATTCTACACATAAAACACACGATTACTTCAAATTTCCAGTTCGTAAAACTTCCCTGTAGAGAACCTTCCATGGTTTTAAGTGTGATAGGCCAAAAAACAAGCTTTTCACTGAAGACAGAATCCACACATCCCAGGCTTGGATGTATAGACCAAGATTTTTTAGACAGAATCCATACAGAACATGCCAAGTTGGAAGGGACCCACAAGGATCACTGAATCCAACTCCCTTGTGTGTACAGATCAAGACTTTTATAGCACTGATTTGGCAAAGTGTGCAGCATTCAAAAAAACCACAAAGCTTTTCTCTGTATCCAGCCAGACCTTCAAGTCTCTTCTCCTACTCTCCATGTCAGAGCACATACCCTCCAAAATGTGATAATCTCCAAAGATGTCTGTGGATACCACAGCACACCAAACCATGCTTTTGCTCTAATCCACGTGGATCCAGGTCTAGCAGTCTGTTTTTTTTCCCCAGGGACTGCCTTCCAAGTCCTCAAGTAAGACATTCAGCAAGAATTTCAAATTACCATTTCCACAGTCTCTATTAAACGAGTTTTTCAGACTCATTTGACTTATGGTTTTTTCCACTTTGTGGATTTGTATCTTCTAAAATATCATCTCTTTGTGGCTTGGACCGTATCTTCTGCATTAAACAAACAGAATCAAGATACAATCACTTGGTGTTGCTACATCTGGGTTCAGCCTCTTCTCAGCTACAAAGAATCTTCTTCATCCTGTGCCACAAGCAACTTTTTGAAATGATGAACTGTATTTTAGGGCAGAACTTATTATTTTAATGGCTTTCATCTGCTTCCTGCAGAGCTGTGGTGGAGCCACCGTGCATTCCCTCACATCACCTGTCCCTAGAGCAGGATGAATGTGACAGTTCTCCGTGCCCCACTGAGCCTGTCAGGGGATTGTGGGGCCCATCCCTCTCCCCAGAACACAGGGAGCTTGTAGGAAGCATAATTCCATTTCAGACCCAAGGGATGATGGTCACAAGGTCAAGGAAAACCTTCACAGGCTACAGCTCTGTCCCAGTTGGCCAATTCAGGCTGAACTCTACGAGCCTGGCTCAGGAGACTGCACGTGTCAGGGCCATTCCCTACCAAGAGCAGAGCTAACAAAGGACCAGAGACAACCTGAAATGCTTGCTTGTAAAATCCTTAGATGTAACACTCATCTTCTGTACACAACCTGCAAAGGCTTGACACGCCAAGATTAAACAGTGGCTTAAACCAACAAGCCTGCACACGGAGTGGTCCCCAGAACAGCACTGGGTGGGCTCCCAGCCCTTGGCTCCAGGCACGGAGGAGACAGCACAACCACACTTTTGCTTTCTGTCTCCTCAGGGGGAAGCAAAGAATGGGCAGAGACTTGACTTTAGCCCCACCTATTCCCTGTCTGCAACAGCTGAATCAGTGTAGGAAGCAGGCAGTAAATGATGGCTGAGGTGAGGAATAGTAAGTACCATCCCTCAGGAGCAGTCCAAGAGGTGACTCACAGGCACGGCTTAGAATGACTCTCAAGGCTGCTCCTTGAATAATTCAACTTATACAACACCATGGCTGAAACAAAAAGGTGGAACCTCGAGACAACAGATGCCACACATGCACAAAGCTGCTGTGTTCCACCTTTCCAGGCACTGCTAACCGGGATTTACCTCGAGGACATTCTCCAGGTTGGGGTCCAGGATGAACTCAAAAGTCTCGTTCCACACGGGGTTGACGTCGTTGTTGAAGTGTTTGGTTCTCTTCCTGCAGTCGGGGGCGGTGGGGATGAACAGCTCCACGTAGGGATCTGGAGTGTCAACTGCAGGCAAAACACAGGGGAAAACTCCACTCTGGGTTCTAATAGCTGTTGGTACGATTATGTGAAACCACAGATCACCTCCTGCTCCAGGACAGGAAAGTGTGCAGCTATTTAAGTTACATCAAGGTAATGGCACAGTGGTAATAATCTCCCAAAGAGAAGCAGGAATTGGGATTTAACGGAGGAGGAGAAAAGCCCTGCACAAACAGAATGGCACTAGGGCTGAGTCAAGTTTATTGGGAATATGCAAACAACTGGCAGGCAAGTTTTTAAAAGTTTTTATCTCTTCCTCTCTTTCCAACCTTTAATTTCTTTGGCTTGTGCCACAGAAGTAAGTATTCCACAGAACAATGAAAACAAGCAGTTTGATCCAGAGTTTGGGATCCTCTGTCACCTTTGCTGTTTTGGGAATGCCAGGGGCAATCAGTCAGTCCCCTGTGCTGTGACACACGGCCCAAGGAGAGCTGTGCAGATGGGAAACCACTGCAAGCACCACAGAACCAAGACCTTATTTACACAGGATATTGGAATAACACTGACTGGAAACAGAGATATGGCAACTACAGCTGAGCAGAGTTATCAGGGGGAGAGGAGCACACACTGACAGAACCAATCGGATGTGTCTAATAATAGTCATTCCTGAGAGCAAGGAATGCACTCCTGGCAGCCCTAAAAATCCACTTCCCAACAAGTTAAAGCTTGTACTTTTTTTTCTCTTCAATGAGGGGTCTTTTTCCTGTCAAATTAGGTCAAGGCTCATGATGTCCTTCACGGTAGATTTTCCTAAAACACTGCTCAGATTTCAAATCAAATCAACTGTCTTTGGGGGGGAAAAAACCCACAACCAAATAACGAAAATAAGGGCTTTTTGGAACCACTCAGGAGGTCTGGAATATGTACCCAGGCAAATTCTATTCAATTTTATTCTAATTAAACTTCTCAAGGAGTTCAATTAGCCAATTGCTGGTGGTCACACAGACTTGCTCTGCCAAGAGATTGAATTGGCCTACAAAAACTTGGTTTTTTACGGAAATCACAGTGCTGAACAGAGTTCTGGGCAAAACATCCCTCTCCATTCAGTTTTTCATGTCATTATAGGATCAGCCTTATGTTATAAAAATCTTTTTCTTATAAATACAATCACCAAATGGTTTCCTCTCCATATTCAAAACCCCCAAACACATGGAAACCTTAGCCCCCTGGCACAGAGATGCCATTACTAACTTCCTACCAGGCTAAACCTGAGGCAGAGAACAACTAAACTTAGAAAAGTCAGACGTGGTAGCTCAGCACTGACAAGCCACCCCCTCACCTCCATGCCTTTATTAGCTTTTAACCCAAGGCAAAGATTTAATCATCTGCCCTTTCATGTTTCAAAGTTTATTTTTGAGCTATTTACAGTTGAGAAAATGAAAATCTATTCTTTTATAACTTCCTTTTTCAGATGAAGAGAAAATACACTGGAACGCTGCATGCTGTGATTAAGATATTGCTAAAAGCTATATTAATCAAAATCTTAATCCTTATTATTGGATGGGGACCAAAAACTAGTTTCCAGCAACCTGGCAAGTAACAGAAAAGTTCACTTCATGTATTTCAAAACATTAAAGCTATCAAAGGCAGATTGAACAGTCAGTGTGTGCCCCTTTCCATGGATGCTTTTATTCCTGCTTGGGCATTTGCCAATTGATTTGCCAGGGAATGTTAAAAAAACCTTATCTGAAAATGTAAGTAAAAACATCTTGGTGACTGCTCTTATCACAGAATCCCAGGATGGTTTGGGTGGGAAGGGACCAGAAAGCTCAACCAGTGCCACTCCTTCCCTGGGCAGGGACACCTCCCACCAGCCCAGGTTGCTCCAAGCCCCGTCCAACCTGGCCTGGGACACTCCCAGGGATCCAGGGGCAGCCACAGCTTCTCTGGGCACCCTGTGCCAGGGCCTGCCCACCCTCATAGACAGCAATTCCTTCCCAATCTCCCATCTCTCCCTGCCCTCTGGCAGTGGGAAGTCTAGAACACTGTTACCCATATTTTGATTTTAAAAGGAAGCATCTTTATGGTTAATGGGTCAAAAGCTGATGTTTTGTGAATTTAATCGAGACAAGAGAATTATCTATACCTGAGGATTATCTATATCTGGACTTGATGGTCTTAAAGGTCTTTTCCCACCTTAACAATTCTATGTAGAGACAACTCTGTCAGGGAACTGCTCTTTTTTAACATCTCCAGTACTTGAAATAGAACCCCCAGACTTAAAATCAACAACGTGTAAGGATCTGTCCTTGTTCCTCAGGGCACTTCTGAGGAAAATGAGGGGTTTGTACACTCAGCTCTGCTCCAGGCTGATCCTCACACAAGTGCTCTCCTGTGACTCCTCTGCCACAGCATCCCAACGTTAGGGCACAGGGAGCCCTTGGAAGGATTTCCAGTGGCCACAAGACGAGATAATTCCATATCCCTCCTTTCCTGGCACTTTCTGGCTATTTACAGGAAGTGCACCTGAATTGTCACAGTGCTCCTGGAGAGCTTCAGAGGGAACAGCACAGGGAAGGCTGGGACACAGGGATCAGAGGGATCTCCCAGGAATAAATCCATCTGAACTGACAATTCGGTATCTAAAACCCCACCTGCACACTCAAAAATGAACCTAAGAGTTCAGCACTGCTGCCAACGAGGGTCCTGCAATCAGCAGCTGATAGCTGATAGCTGTACATACCCTAAAGCTCATTAACAAACATCCATAATAATGTCAATTTACAGCATCCTCCAGGGGCTGAACGCAGGTTTCCAACAACAAAAGTAGAGCCAGAATGTAAAGTGCTATTTCAAACAGCTCAGGAAACAGCTGAGAGGCAGAAAGCAAGGATTCCATCACTTTGCCTCGTTTGATTTATCTCCTGGTTAAGTAATTGCTTTAGGATTCTCCCTTTAAGTTCCATTCTGAATCACCAAGTGAAACACACAATGGACAGTAATTAGGGTCAAACACTCTCACATTAAAAAATGAGTAATGGTTTAACAGTCTGTCTATTAAAGAAACCTGTAAAATTTCCTACACTGACTGGAAAGCATTTGATCTTATGCTAATAATTTGATGAGATGACTGTCAGCAGGCCCCTATATTAATATAATTAATATTTTGGATATATAATTTATGTTTCAGTCACTTCAATTATTTCAACAGCACAACAAACATAAAGAAACTACAGAAAGCCTGTTCAAACATAAAATACCAAGGATGAAGCCAATACCATCACACATTAAAATTTGTCTCATTTGCCCATCAAAAGTCAAAAGAAAAGTTCTTCAAGTATCTCAAAGTCTGTTTTGCTGTAAAAGATTCCCCACCATAAGGACTTGACTCTTTTTCCACATGAGCACATCATAAGCACTTGTGATCACAATGGATATCCAAAACAAAACTGCACTAACTTTAACTTCACTTAATATATGCACCTCCATTATAGAAACTGGATCCAGATTTTCTGGTCCCATCATCTCCAGATACCATTTTAAAGCAATTATGGGAATATTCCAGCAAGTCTGTGGCAGAACTTCCTTAAAGAACTGTGTTAGTTTGGTTGATTGGAAAATTTTGCTTTCTGGTTAACTGTTATTATAATTAATAAATGACAATATGTTTTATATTGGTATGGATTATTATATATATACCAGTTACCATATATATTATACAATACCAATACAATATATCAATTATGTATAATATTGGGAGGGTATATATATATATACAAAAAATAGTAATAACCATTAATTTATCGACCTTTAAGTGCAATCCCATTCATAAAACCTCACTAGGTCCCAGATTACCATCTCTGTCTATTTTCCACCTTTTTTTTTTTTTTTTTGGCTTCCTGCATTACAGTTCCACTTGTTTAGCACAAATATTGAGAACTGCTGGATGACCTCTCTCTCTTCCAAAGGGGAGGAAGCTGAATAACAACTGAATTGCCATTCCAACAGGGAATTTTGCAGGGCTCACGGGATGAGATGTTTCACAGTGGCTTGAAAATACAGTTTGGTCTCTCTGCCACGGTCAGATAAAAACGTAATGAATTTTAAAATCATTGGGTTTCCAGTTTCATGTTTCCAGTTTTAAAAAAGGGAATTCTTTAAAATGGTACTTCTCAGTAACTGTCAATACCAATAATTAACATTTCCCAAAAACCACACGAACAAATAAATGAGTTGTTAGATTTGGCTTAGCCTTGCTCTGTTCCACCCCAGAGAAAGGAGAGGCCAACAAAGGTCTGAAAAAGATGTCTCCAGTGTTCAGGAGAACACAGGCACCACTAATTGATTAATTAATTCATTTATCAAATGGGAAAGAAGGAGTGGGAAGCCCCAAGATCCCACGCAGGGACCAGCAGCAGGCCCCCCATTCTCATGGAGCAGGCAGCTGAGAAGCTCCAGAGGAGCTGATGGATTATTTGCTGCCTGTGTTTCAGGTGTTACAGGGAATGCCAAGCCTTTGGCTTGGGGGATTTTGCAAAGGGGATGATGCAGCGGGAGATTTCGTGAGCGGAAGGTGACTCCAAGTGAAGCAGCCATGCCATGAGAAGTCCTGGGATTAGGTAATACAATCATTAAAAATTAGTAGTGCCTTTTATTACAGTGCTTTTCAGCTCTGGTATTACTTCAGTGAAGGGCAGAACTGAACTCCCAGCACAGGCACTGCACCATCCCCCAATGTGCTGCTGTGGGACATCACTGCTTGCCCTGATCCAGCCTTGAAGGGGAAAAAAAAACCCAAATAAGTCACCTGAATGCTGCATAGGGTCAAACCACATTTGTACAAGTGCCAAGAGCAATATGATATTCCTTTCTCTACATTATTTTCATTCCCTTTGCAGACAGATAGTGAAAAGTGACTGAAACACTAATCTTGCAACAGGTCAGAGAAAAACAGCATTTTTCTAGTAGTGTGCCAGGAACCAAGGGGTTTGGGGGTTTTTAATTGATTTAAGTGCCTAGTTCTCAGT